GTATTGGCCCAGTATGCAATCCATATACAAGGCCATCTGCCAACGCTGTCAAGGCTTTGCAGAGAGCAAGTATCAGAGAGGATGAAGGAGGACATCGGAGAGAAAGAAAGAGGGTTAAGTAAAATATATGGAGAAAGGGAGGACTCGTTTCATCTCTGCAGAATTTCCACATTGCCATCGGAAACCTATGATGTCTCCTCATGGGCCAATACATCTGGATAGCCGCACCATTTAGATTGCACTTAAACAGGGCCGCGGTGGCCATCGATTTATCTGGGCTTTACAGCCACAGTCCATAGCTCTGCAGGAGTTGTCTACGCACACCCTAACTCACCAATGTTGGCCAAAGATCTGTAGTAGTTTGCTTTTCACTCAACAGTCACAGCTGAGTGACTGGGAAGCAAAGTTGGCAGTCATATCCACAATCTTTGAAACACACACTGCCTTACAACAAGCTGAAGTAGGCCAGGAGACTTAGATGTCAATGATTCTTCTTTTCTTTTTCAAGGTTTTGATGGCTCTGCAATGCAATGCAGTTATCTGCCATACAGATTATACAAGTTGGCTAACAGAACCTGACGTGAGAGTGAAAACTAGGACAGCTTTGTAGTTAACTTTAAGAAGAGTTTATTGAAGGTTTTGAGACATGTTTGATCTGAATTTAGCATAAAAATATCAAATAAGGAGCTGTTGATCTGTAATGCCATCCTCCATAAATCAGATCCCAAACCTTTTAAACCAGACTGTCAAAAAGTCGAACTGTCCAAAGAAAACATCAAAAATGTTGGCCTAGCTTTTGAAATGGTCAACTCCTTCAACTATCTTGGACTCACCCAGGACAATAAACTCGGCTTTGATCAACACACCACTGATTCTCACAATCACTGCCAACATAGACTTTTAGGCCAAACTCAAATCTAAAGCTGTGTCCGTCTCGCCTCACCTCCTATTACTTCTGTATAAATGCCTCATCCAACCCGTCCTCCTCTACTGCTCACCCTTTTTCGTCAACATGCTGTTGCGGACAAAAAAAAACACTGCATGATCACAAATATTGCTTCAAAAATCATCGGTCTACCCACCCATTACCTCTCACATCTCAACTACAAAGCCCCGACTCACAGAGCACTCACCATAACCCAGGACCCCTCTCACCCACTCAATCCACCCCTCTCCATCAGGTTGGAGATACAGGACTCTGACCTGGAAGAGGGCACGCTTTAAAAAAGGCTTTGTTCCCTCTGCTATTGAGTCTCTTCCAAACTGACTAGCCTCTTTCATTGTTTACTGTATATGTTTCTTCCTGTGCTACGTTCTAATAAATCTATACCTCTGCGCCAACTGTGCAAAGCTGTGACAACAAATTTTCTGTATAATATTATATTGTAAGCAAGTTAGAGACACGCACGCACGCCAAAAAAACTGTGGATATAATACCTTTACTTTGAGGTTTAAATGATTTACATATGCTCTCCTTGACTTTACAAATTTTAGGACTACCGGTAATACAATTTTTTTTTCTTTAACCATTATTCTTAGACTGTGTTAAACTGTGCCTTTGCATCACGGCCCATTAACTGAATGAGCCTGTTGATTCCAACAGCTCTCAGATAACGATACCTCATGATGTGACAGGTGAATAGTACTGGAACAGTTAATAGTGGTTCACTCCGTTCCTTTTCTTTAATTGCTTTCAAGCTCTCTCCATCTGCAGACAAAGGTTTAATGGACACTAATGTCCCTGTTGTGTGATTAGCAGAAAAGGCTAAAGAGAACAGAGTTCTGAGCTAATGGAAGTGGATGAAAAGGGAGGGTTTTTATGTAATGTACAGTCAATAAAATATGCATTTGGACCGCATAAAATGAGGTCTTTTTATATTTCTGGAGTAACAAAGGGCTTGACTGTGCCACAGAGCAACAGAAGTACCCTGCTGGATGTGAAAGATTTCCCTGATTTCCACGCCCTCAGATGGACTAAAGAGGCCAAAAATATCTCTTGATCAACACAACCAGAAGCTCTTGCATTTACAAATCCCAGATGAAGACTACTCAAATACTTTTAAAGAGACACAAAGTACAAGGTGCCGTTATCACCAAGTCAAGCTAAATAAAGCAGATTATTTTTGCAGGGATTTATTGAGATGCACTGATAAGCCGAGTCAAACTGTTTCAGCGCATTTAAGCGCTTAAGATCAGACTGGAGATGATGTCGTCCCACTCTCCCTCAATTTTAATTTGGTTCTCTCCTGATTGATTTTAAACTAATTTTCCCTCACTGTACTGAACTGCCTCTCCATACCTGCCTGTTGAATCTGTCTTATTCCTGTTATTTGCATTTTTACAATTTTGCCCTCTCTGTTGATCTCTGTTCTGTTGTTGTTTTGCTGTATTTGCTGTCTGTCACAGCACTTTGTAAACATTTGTTTTTAAAGGTGCAATATAAATAAAGATATTATTATTAGTATATTATTATTATTATTATTATTATTATTATTAATAATAAGAATCCGGGGGGAAAAACAAGAATGTTGCAATAAGACTCCAACAAAAATGATCTGAAACCTTTCTGTGGTTTAGCACAAGTTGACGTCTTCCTCTCATCTGTTTCCATTTGGGCAAGTGAGTGACAAAGTCCACAGGACAGGACTTGGCTTTGAGGAGGTGTGATTCATTGGACCCAGTAGCAGATATAGCAGCTACCTCAAAGAAGTACAATAAGTAGGTAACAGCTAAGCTACAGCACCAATAAAATGCTCAGGAATACGGCCGATATTGAGGTCTGTTCGCTCTTTCCTTTGGGAGCTGAGGATGACATCAACCACCATTAAAAAGAGATGGTAGGACTTCTATAATTGTTCAGAAAGCAATGTCTTTGTTGACACTTTCTGAATATGTTACTCAATATGTAGCTGTTGCATAACGTGTCCTTATAGCGTGCAAGGGTCTTGCTATCCCGTAGCGAAATGTCAATATTATCACTCTATGTCCATAATGAATACATAATATGTGCAAGTTAGATGACTGTATTTTCTCATTTTAACTGAGCGAGATCAGACTGGAGATGTAACATCCAATGATTTGATAGCATACATTTTATGTGATGGTAAGTCTACACTGGAAGGGACAAGTAGCAGCTTGAATGTTGTAAGCGTCTTGACAAAAAAAAAAAGAAAATCCAGCAAGCTGCAACTTTATTTAGATAAATTACGTCGCCATTCAACCTTTGTGAATCAGTGATAGGTTCATGAACAACAGGAAATAAGTGAAAGAGGGCATCGTACAACAGTTAAGCTTTAATGGGGCAATGGAATCAAACTATTTTCACTAGCATTATGCTGAGATATGAAACAGGTAGGGCCGAACACACGACATATCAAATTTTAAAAAATTGGCTCGTTTATTATCGATCTAACTCCCGTTTTTCTAAATGAAACACGTCTGGTGACAGAGAAAGATGGATGTGGATACTCAATGGACTTTACAGCATCAGAATTTAGGCCAAATGGTAGCCTGTAGCCAAGATTTAAAGAGAGAAAAGAAGAGCGCTGCAGTCTTTACTATTGTGTAGCAGTGTGCGATTATGATTTCTCCTTGGAATCACAAGGCAATCAGGAAAAGGGGAGAGTGCTGTTGTGTGCTGAACTGTGGCCCATACAGCTGCTACTTTGGTGCTCATTTGGGAGTGTATGGCATTCTCTCTGAATGGCAATTATGAAGGTAACAAAAGGGGCATTTAGAGACAAAGGCGGGTTTCGGAGTGAATGGGCCAGCTCCCGTGTGTGGCGAGTGTTCTGACTCCAAGTGCTGGTTCATGAGAGACGATATGAGGTAATTATGCAGGAGAACTTGCAGTGGGGAGACAAGAAGGATAGACGCAGAGAAAAAAAAAAAAGAGAGAAAGAGAGAGATGGACTAGGGTTGGCATAGTGTCTATGGAGAGCAGGACCAGATAGCACCATCTGCATTCTGTGCAGGCGCTGTCCGTCTGGCTCGCTGTTGCCTTAAATAAAAGCTGGCACTGAGGCAGACGTAAGGCAGGAATGTATTCAGACGTACAGTTTGAGCACAAACTGGCCCTGACACAGGCAGAGATCAATCCTGCAAGACTGTAAGTGTTCTCATTGATTTTCACTGTGAGCTGGTGGCACTAATTCAGATGTTAACCAAACTATTATAGTGGACAAAAAACAGAAATCCTGTGTGGGCCTCATATCAGACACTAAGGCTCCGTTCACACTGCAGGAAAAAGTGACCTGTCCTGAATCAGATTTTTTTTGCTCATATGTGCCTCTTTATATGTGATTTTTTTACGACAGTGTGAACAGCACATGTCATGTAATATGATCTTTTTGAACCAGTTTGTAGCCACTATCATATGTGGATTCCCACAGGAGTCTGATGAGGGTCACATTTAAGAAGCAATGTGAACCCTCAAACAAACAAATCTGATCTGAGCAGCGTTGCATTTGTACACAGAATGTGCTTGCATTTCTCATTAATTCTATAAAGCATGGCATCAGTTTCTCACATTTGAGCTCTTACTAATTAAACAGATTTGTAAATAAATCCCAAATATTAGCTACGAGAGGGAGTTTACACGTTTAAAGGATCCAAAGTTCAGATAAGTGGCAGGTCAATTAAATGGGGGAGGCTCACATTTTAATGCAAAGCAGACCTGAATGTCAGCAGGGGACTGAATGTATAGTACCGGTACATAGATTTGGTATTTCCTAAAACGGCATAGCTTGCATTGTGAAGGAGATTCCTGTACATATGCAGTGATGTCAAATCTATATACAAGTGCAGTTTTGGGACGTTGTTTGTTTGATTGCTTTTGCTGCAGTCATGATAAGATGGTTCTCTAGGGTTTGTAGCCATCAGTAAGAAGCCGTGAAATAATAACCAGCATCAATCCAGTGCTGATAGCTGTGTATGCACCAAAATAAATCAAACCTTCATATCAGTTGGATTTGTACAGCAATGATCAAAGTGTGTCTTACCTCTCTGATCTTGTCACGTTTCTCTTTGACGTCAGGTTCAGGAGGCTCTCCGTCACTGACGCCCACCACTTGGGGCATTGGAACAGGTGGCAAAGGTTTAGGCCCTACAACCTTCTTCTTCAGGTCCTCCACCACTTTGTTTTTCTCCGTCTGAATCTCCGCCTGCAGCTCCTCACGGGACTTTCTCAGCTTCTCCTTTGCCTCCTGCAGCGCCCGCTCGTGGTCTGCCCGGATCTTGTCCCGCAGGCTTTCCTCCTCCTCCCTGTGGGAGACAGGATAAAGGCAGGAGGTGAGTTTTTCTTTAATTAAGTGTTTGGATTACTGCTAGCTTTGACAAAGTGGCTCCCAGTCCTTCGGGGGTTAGCATACAAAGGGTTATTTCAAGCAATTCTGACACAAGAAAAGTGTTTAGAGAATACAGCTGGGAAGAGAGGTTTCATTTTTTTTTTAAATATGCTAATTTTAACTTAAAAAATAATAATCCTTTGGGGAGAAGATGTAAAGGAGATGGGAACATAAGAAGACAAATGTTAGGTATGTGTTTCTAAAAATCTTATTAGAGCTGCAACAATGAACTATTTAACTGAAAGACATCTCTCACACACTTGATGAAACAGTTATTTGATAAATCAGCAGCATAATCGATATTTGTGTCACCCTTAACTTTGATAAAATAATACAAATCATTATGATGTAAGTAGAGGTGGTGCCGGAATAAACACGTTAAGATGCCTCTGCAATAAACAGCTGCAGAAAACCAGCCTCAAACAAACCCTTTTCTAATTCAGATCATTATGGTATGAAAACATCAGTCTCTCAGGGGAAACCGAAACCCCCGCCCCTCCACTCTGCAGTTACATCAGCTCCAGGAAATAGGACAGGTGTAGAGGAACACAATGAGGAGGGAGGATGCAGTGCCAAAAATGAGAAACATCACCTTTGGTTTCACATGGCGTTACAAGCCCCCAGGTGTTTACATAACTCTACCCCCATGAGGATGTGGGTCAGTAATGGAAAACAAACCCAGCGGGGTGCCAAAGCAAAGGTGACAGAAGGATGAGGAGACTGTACTGATCTTCGAGGATGAAAACTGGAAAAATCATCTCTGAAACTCACTTTGCTAACATGTGGACAATCCCAGGCAATATTGTTGGCACAATGTTGGCAAAGCTCTGGTGTTGTGAGTGACTGCTGTTGACTATACCCGTTGAATCTATCATGAAAACCCACAGTGTGGGAGGAATAATAGGAATTTAAAGATGGAATTTATTTGTTGCATATAAAATTGTATTTTTGGTCTAATCAATCAACTATGGCTGTTTTAGCCTTTAAATACATATTTAATCAATTTGAATGTGTTGTGCTTCTTTAAGTGTTTTCATATTTAATGCTTTACTCATGGTAACAGACTTAAATACTAAACACAAATATTATAGCAACCAAGTAGGGCAGAAATTAAGTAGAAAAAAGGAACAAACAGAAGATTAATTTTCCATGATGCCTGTGTCATTGTTAATTATTTTCATGAAGCCTGTTACATTGATTAAAACTGTCAGTTCCAAAATTAACTTCACTGTGAAGTATCCAGGATCAAGCAGTTTATTTGTTTGTGCTCACATTTCAGTCACAACTTAAAAGTGTTAAAATCGTTAAATGCGAGTGCCAAGTCCAAACAACGTTAAAAAAAAAAAACAATCTGGAAAATAACGGTTTGTGTCAGCTGAGTGCAAACATGTGAGTGTGTTTATTAATGACCTCCTGTGTGATAAACGCAGGAACTGTGGGAGGAACTTAGGACCTGCTGAGATCCTTGTGGACTCAGCTGCAAGCACAACAGAGCTCTTCAGCGCAACATCTTTTAGGAAATGTGAAAATAATACTAAGAATGTGTTAGTGTGTGTGTTCCCCTCCAAGGGCACACTCACATCCATGCACAAGCATGGCTGACCCCCAAATTCCAGTTTGTTTGATGAGTGTAAGTGCTCTATACCGTGCTCAAGTATGGTACACGTCCTTGGCCCTAGGAAGGACGGTAGAGGTGGGCTTCGACAAATTTGGGGACAACTGGGACTAGTATGAGGGACATGGATATTCCAGTTTTTTGGTCGAATGAGAAAAGTGCCTTTTTACTCAGATTGTTCCTGTGATTGGCAAAGTGCTAGCTAAGTTTCTAAATTGTGTCTTTTTGCAGGTGTTTAAAGAAAGAATGATATAAAATTCGATATATATTTTCTGAAAAAACTTCACTCCACTGAAAAAATGCTACAGCAGGAACTGATCCAGGACAGAGAGTCTGTGGGGGTTTTATTATAATCCTTTTTAACCAGTTAAAATAAGTCCAAGATGTCCTAATACCATGTCTGTGAAGTTCTTGCTCTAAATCCACTCTGATCCTGTATTTGATCATGTCTATAAACCCCTCTATTTCAGCCCTGCTCAGAACAGGCTCTTTCTGTGTCTGTACCTTTAAATGTAAATGAGCTGTGACTGACCACGCCCCCTCTCTGGAAGGGCTTGGGTGGCTCGGGCTTTCTCGCTCCATGTCCTATTGTTTAGGGTGAGAAGGCAGACTCAGAGGGCAGAACAAACACCCTTTGTGATGTCATGAAGGAAAAATCTCCAAACGGCCTGTTTGAGCACGCATCTTCTGAAAAGTGGAAGAAGACGGAGAGGGTGGACTTTTCTCATAATTGGGGGGTTTGTAGACAGACTAGGGAGAATAGTGTATTTTGTATAATATGTGACCTTTAATATTCACGTTCTAATGTGTTTCCATCTTTAATGTCCTGTCAAAACAATTAGTATAAATAAAAAGACTGCCCAAAAATATATTGCCAGTGCAGATGCTTAAAAACAGATTTTTGGGTGTCTTTATCCTGTTTAAAAAATACAAAAATGGACTTGCAAAAGAGAGAGAGAAAAAACATTTTAAATCTGTGTTATTGGTGTGGGCCAAGAAGAGTCACTGCAAACTGCTCAATATGTGTAATTTATCCATTAACTCCTGCATGTAATGTTTTCTTACACTGCTCTTAGCTTGTGTAGAGTCTTGCTTTTATCAATGCTTTTTCCTGTAAGCTGCAATTTAGGGTCAGAATTGGTATATTTTCCCACTATCTCAGATATCACAACTGCACATTTAGACACAGAACATGAATGCAAATTACAGATGATCGAAAATTGTGCTGGAGAGAGAAGAAAAGTGAGTTTTGCGTCAGCCTACATTAAAGCAGATGTCTTTACTTAAGACTAGATTTATGAGACACGATGGCTCAACCTGATAAAAAGGTCTGCAAAGCAACCATGAAAGAGAGGTGCTGAATGATATGAGAAAAAAGGAGGAAAAGAAAGATGTGGAAAAGAAATATAAGAGTAAGAATCACCAGCAAATAGAAAGTGAAAGACAGCGATGAGAAAAGGAACAAAAGCTGTGACGCAAAGCTGATGAGAATAATAAAGTGCAGGAAACACAGAAAGAGGCGCAAGTTTTCAAACAACACAATGTGCATCCATTTCATAATGATATCATGATGCTGAATATGGGGCCAACAGAGACCAAAATAAACAGCGACGCAACATCACCCTGGAAACAACTCATAAATATTCAAATCACAACTCAGCGTGTGCGACTTTAATTGATAGAAAACATTTTTTGCAACACTAAGATGGCAATTACTGTGTGTATGCTGGTGCCAATGAATGTATGCATTTGTAATAATTATTCCAGTGTGTGCTGTATTAACATTGTGAGAATTTCATGTTCATGTCATAGTACAGGAAGCGTGTGTGGTTGCGTCAAATGTGTGTGTGTTTGCTTATTTGCATTTTCTAATTCAAGGTCTGTGATGAGGTGTCTGTGTAGTAATGAATACAATCTTGCAGTTTGTGTGTGTGTGTGTGTTTGTGTGTCTACACCCAGAGAGTGACACACCTCCTCTGTGCCTCTGTGAGTAAGTGCGCCTAAGCAACGTGCATTTAGATGTGATATTTACACGACAGTACCGATGTTGGAAGATGGGCTAATGTCTGTGTAAGTGCTCACATTTACTGTATGTGTATGTTTATAAGGTGCAGGAGAGCATGACAGAAGAAAATGAGCAGGTTAAGCTGACACCATCATCTCCTAATGGATGCTGATTCCACTCCATGTATGTGTGCATATACATATTAAGTCAGCTCGTTGTCACGGAAACAAAACCCTAGCATACCCACTTCACAAACGTGCAGCTTTGGAAACAGTCCACAAGCAATCCTGCAGAAAACTCATTCCCACACAAATAGCATTAGCCTTCTGCACTTCTCCCTGTATACTCCCCCTCCTCCTCTTCCTCCTCCTTTAATCTCATGTCACTCTTCTCTCTCCCTCTCTCTCCCCTCCAAGCCATTATCATACTCGCACTAGCATCTCCAAGGATTCCTTTTGAGTCTCATATGATGTCAAACATGCAATTAAGAAAACATCAACAGCAGCCTGACATAATGACTTTGACAAAGACACAAATATTGGCCCTCATTTATCAATCTGGTGTAGAAACCAGCGCAGATTTTGGTGTAGAAATCATCGTACGGCAGGGTCCACGTGGGACCTATGAAATGTGCGTATCTGGCTGATCACAGCGTACGCATGACCCAGTGTTGAAAAGTGTGGCGGCTGGAAATGATCGTCATTTAAATACCAAGCCCCTATATCTTCACCATTTAGCTGTCCCCGCCCCCAGAGTTTGCAGCATGGGAACACGTAATACGGCAAAGAAGAGAAACGAGATATGACATGAGTGACACCATAACAGGGAAAGAGGAATAACATTGTGTTGTCTGGAAGCCTGAAATGTAGAATTAAAGAGCTTCAGAAGAAATGAGTCTGGATGGAAATCTCAACAGTGTTGGTGTGGATAGCCGAACTCCAGCGGAGTTTTTAACATTTAATTTAACATCCGTGATATGTAACGTACATAACCTAGGCTATTATATAATACATTTTTTATACTTTTAGTTTAAAAAACCTGGTGAGACCATACGATCACTACAAAGTAGCCTAGTGTTGCAGGTCTTAAAAGAAGCAGCTCCCGGACCGGAGGACGCCAGCCGGACCCCACTTGAAATAATCCCAGATCAAGGAGCGAGTGGCTTCCTTCATCGGTTCAGCCTCAATATCAGGCCCAAGTGGTGCAGGCGAGCCTGCATCTGTGTCGAATAACGTCGGCTGCACAAGGCGGGCATCGTGCTTGCCATTCATTAGACTTTAATAGAAAAGAGAAACCT